CCTTTTTTTTTCTCTCTTTTTTTTTGTGTAACTGTGGCTTTAGCAATTTTGTGCAGCCATTTCCGTGACTGCTCATGGATTCACTGCGAATCCGTTCATGGCAGATTGCCTGCAAAGGAGGAGGTGCACCTGTGCTTTGATAGGCTGTTGAATTTTACAAATGTGCTCCTCAACCGGACAAAATCCATTATGAAATGAGAAAATTGGTGACCTTATGCCAGGCGATTTGGCCTTTTATGAAAAAAAAAAAAAGGAGTGGGCCGCCTTTTATCATGACTGGAGTGAATGTTGTTTGTTTTTCTGGGGAATTTCTATTAAATTCATGAGAGAGGGGGGCTCAGCATCATATTGACTCGATGCCATCGGCTTCTTTTCTTCTCTATTCCTTCTATCCATGGCGTCTCTCTTCCCCTGCTTCTCCTTTCTAACCTCCACAGTGCACTTCGGTTTACCTAAATTCATGCAGCCTTCAGTGAGCCAAACCATCCCAGTAAACGCATTACAGAGACGCTGTGCAAGTCGCATTCAAATCCAATAATATTGTCGGAAAATGACTCAACCTTGCATTTTCCACCTCGCTGTTGTCTACGAGATCTCAGATTGAATGTGTCTTTTTATTCTCACCAAACACCGCAGGACGTTTCATCGCAGCGGGGAACTTCGTGCCCTCCTCCTTCGTCTACATGGCCTCACACACCATCTCTCACTTTGATGCTCTTTTTTTAATTGTCTCTCCTCTGCGTCTACCTTGTCAGTCAGGGTGTGTGTGTGTGTGGTTTGAGTCCGTGCCAGGGCTAAGTGTTTAATTAGTAACAACACAACTTGCTTCGCCTTGACAGTTGAGCCGTGCAGGTTTTTAGGCCGTTGAGCGCAACTCGTGGCTCAACGGAACACCACCGAGATAAAAGAGGGAGAAGACGGTGGAGGAAATCAATACTTTCGGGCTGTAGCTGCGCATCTTCCCCGTCTCTGTTTGCTGTGGAGCAACAAAAGGCCATCTGTATGAGTACCTTTAAGAGGGGCTGAAAGGGAAGAGACGGGAGGAAAGGAACAGCTTCGATAGATCGTCCATCTTTTCTGTGTCCTGTATTTTCTGCTTTAATGATTTTGGTCCAGCTTACTTTGAGCTTCACACATCTCCTTTATAGTTTTTCTCTGCCACCCAACTTTCTAACTATTTTCCCCCTCTTTGTTCTTTATGCATCCTCATCCTTCTCCATTTTCCCTATTTCACTTTCCCCCACTCTCATTTCATAGTCTCGCTCCCTGTCTCGACATATTTTTTATGTTCTTCAAATTATCAAGTGGCAGTATTGGAGCTTTTAAAAGAATGTATTCACTGAGCAAAGGATACCTTCGCCTTCCGTAACAGGAATTTGCAATTATCCGTCAGGCTCAGCGCAGCGAGAGAACAAGTCCCACATTATACTTCAACGTTCGGGCCGTGCTTTAAAGTCAGACTGTGCGGCTCTGCTAGAGGAGTTCCTCCTTGCTCAGCCCACTGCACATCTTTTGAAATGTAATTATCTCTTATTTAATTAGAGGAAGAAAGTACAGTTATCTAATTTTGCAACCACAATGCTGTAATTAATATAAGACATCTGTTACTTCCTACGCCATAAGTGGGTCGTGAGAAAGAGTCACACACAGTCACCTGCTAATACAGTGAAGGTAATAAGATGTATTTTGATAGTTTTAAAACCTGAAATGTGAGTGTTATGCAGTTGCTAGAGGATATGTGAAAGGATTGTGGAGAAGCCCAGTTGTAACACCTAAACACAACGGGCTGCAGTTGAGAATGTGTGTAATGGAAGAGAAAAATAATTGAAAATGTCAGTAAAAGTAAAGGATAAACAGTTGAATTACTTAAAAAAAGAGGTAAATGGTTGAAGATTTATATTCTAAGCACAAAGTCCAACATGTTTCCGGTGGGTGCTGGACTCCTGATCTTGTTTGTGATATTCATGGACATAATCTCAAGGTGAAGCCATGGTGAGGAGGGGGTCAGGTTTGGGAAAATCTGAATCTCTACTTTTTGCAGATGATGTTGTTCTGTTCACTTCATCAAGCCGTGACCTTTAGCACATTCTGGGGAAGTTGAGTGTGACACAACCAGGACAAAAGTCAGCACCTCCCATTCTGCAGAAATGGTTCTGTACCAGAAACCAGAGGATTGCTCCCTTTAGGTTGGGGTTGAGTTGATGTCCTAAGTAAAGAAGTTAAAGAATCTCTAGATCTTTTTCACGAGTGACAGGAAAATGGAGGGTGAGGTGGACTGAAGGATTGGGGACTGCCATGAAGCGAGAGCTAGGCAAGAAGGCAAAACTCTGGATTTACTAGATGTACCAGATCTATGTTCCAACCTTCATCTATGGTCATGAGCTCTGGGTAGTGATCAAATGAATGACAATGATAGCGATAGGGGATATCGGATAGCTGCTCCTTCACTATAAAAGGAGTCAGCAGAGGTGGTTCCTGGACACCTTCCTTGGATGCTTTCTCGGCATACCTAACTGGGAGGAGACCGCAGGGTTGACCCAGAACAGAACTTCCTATAGAGATTATCGATCTCTTCTGGCCTGGGACATCAAACTGGGAAATATTGGTAGAGAGAGGGACACCAGGAATGCCCTGTTGGGCTGCTGCTACCCTGATTCAACCCCAGATAAGCAGAAAAATAGATGGCAACATGGAGGATGGAGATTTTCAATGGTTTGAAATAATAATAAATGGTAGAGCTAAAAAGCATTTCTCTAACCTCATTACATCTACTACATTCTGACTTTACCAATCGTTTTTAGATGAATCAAACAAGCAGATTACAAAATCTCTGTCAGGCTCTGTCAGATTTGCAGACTTTCATCCTCAATCAAAGCAGTGAGGCTGATTGCTGAGTATTTAACATTTGAAGCAGCGAGTGCACAAAACTCAAGCAAATGTTACAACTAAGTCCAAGAACAATAGCCCTATTCTTCAAAGCCCCAAAACAACACAGTGAAATGTCTGCATGTGAAAGATTTTTCTTCCCTGCTGCTGTTGTGGTAATAACGTCCGGTCAGCACAATAATGATAGTCAGACGGTCCCTACTCTGGAAAAATACTGTTAAGAGGATATGCTGAGAAACAGAGGATCAAATATTTCCGCGTAGCTGGCATTTTATTGTTTTTCCATCTCAAAGACAAACCTTCTGTTTATGTTGAAGAATCCTGTGAGTCCAGAGAAAAAGACGGATGTATTTCATAAATGTTTTCAAACCCAAAGACACAGTCCTCACACAGCACCTGAAAACCCAGATTTGGGATGTGTCCTGTTTATTCTTTTGTTTTTCTGCTGATGTACATAGGTTTTTGCACTATCTGCACTGTCCTCTTTGCTGCAGTAACACTGAACATTTTCCCACTGTGGGATTAATGGAGGTTTATCTTATCTTATCTTAAAGTACTTCAGAGAAGACGAAGGGAATAATACTTCTCCACATCCAGTCTGTTGGGGTCTGAGCGATATGAAGTTTGTCATCTGCTCAATTCTTCAAGAGTCTTCATGAACCCCTTTGTGGACATCCTCGTGCATCCCAAAATTTGTGTTCATCTGACCAGTAGTATTCATCCTCAGCATAAGTGTGCCCATATAGATACCTACATAGTACATAGGCTGCACGGTGCATATACTGAACACATCTTCCAAGCAGACTAGAGAGTAAAATAATTTAGGCCAACTACACATCATGCTTTCATGCTTTCTGCCACCAGAGTCTGCAGACACCCATGTCCATCCATCCATCCATCCATCCATTATCTATACACCGCTTAATCCTCACTAGGGTTGTAGGTGGGCTGGAGTCTATCCCAGCTGATTCAGGGCAGGGGACACCCTGGACAGGTCGCCAGTCTATCACAGGGCTACACTTAGAGACAACGACGCACACTCACATTCACATCTACAGACAATTTAGAATCACCAATTAACCTCAGCATGTTTTTGGACTGTGGGAAGAAGCTGGAGAACTCAGAGAGAACCAGCGCTGCACAGGGAGAACATGCAAACTCCATACAGAAAGATCCCTGGCGTCCTAACCAGGATGAACTGCGTATCTTCTAGCTGCAAGGCGATGGTACTAACTACCGAGCCACTGTGCAGCCCAAGAGTTGTGACCAAGCCAACTTTGCGTATGTGCCAGGAAAGCAAAATGAATGCATGTGTGAGAAGATTTGTAAAGTGTTGCCCCAACAACATCCTCAAAGTATTGCCGGCATTACGTTCCAACTTTGTTAATATATCTCACTACAAGAACATTGTTAGAACTTTTTGTCTTGATCACGTCATGAAAAGAGTTTTTAAATGTTGGTTTGGAAACTTCTTTTATTATCTTGTAACATAATCTGTGGCCCTGAGAACGTCCTCAAAACATTCTCTGAAAGTTGCAGCGAAACATTGTGCCTGAGTTAAACCTTGTAGGAATATTACTTGAAAAGATATCCTGACTATGTTCTTTAAACATTAGAATGAAGCCTTTAATCAATATTCAGAATTGAAGGTGACGTTAGCCAATGTTGTGGGAATGTTCCCTGCCAGCTGGGGTATATGTACTGGCATGCATGATATAATGACTGGTAAATTTCATATAATTCACAGCAGATGCAGCTCATCAGTGTGCATATATGTGTATATATATATATATATACACACACCGGATTGTGTCCAAATGTGTACTAGGCAGCAAAGACGTACAACAGGCTGCAGCTGTAGAGCGATGGCAAGAGTCCATGAGTGGATGCTTATGAGAACAGTGGTGCATGGCCAGAATCTCTGCAGCAGCAGCAGCAGCAGATCATACAGTATAAAAAAGAGACGGTTATGTAAGTGGATGCTGGAAAATGTGAATGAGAGATGTTCCTGTCAGGCTGCCCCTTTAGCAAACCATTTGACCAGTGAGTGCCCCTCCAGAGTTAACCCTTGAACGTGATCGTAACCTTGTCCTGTCGCGTGTCCTTGTCCACAGAGGGTGGCCAGATTAACAACAACGTGGGACCAGGTTCAAACATGGGCCAGCAGCACCCTTATCCTGCCCTCAGCCAGCTGGCTCATGTCTACGAGCAACAGCAGCAGCAGCAGCATCAGCAGCAGCAGCAGCAACAGCAGCAGCAAAACAAGGATCTCAACAAGTACGCCTCTCTGAAGGCTGTAGGTGAGTGTCGAAAGTTCTGATTGTTATTTTAAAAAATTTCTAATGACAGAGACTGAAGAGCATTTTTAAAGATTGAGATAGTTCTTGTTGTTGTCATGCTGGTAGCTGTGACTTTTTGGAGGTGCAACATCCTCACAGTGAATCTTGGTGCCCTGTTCTTGTTAGTGGTGTAACCACGATTCGTTCTGGCATCTTGGCATCGAATCTTGACAAAATCAGACCTGGAGCTTTTGTGTCGGTATAGTTTACTGAATGCTTTCTGACCCAAACTCAAAGGGCACCGGATGCTTTTTTTTTCCTGGAGATCTTCAGGAAAGATGCGACTAAACTTCAGGACGTCAGCCTCGCGGGCAGATATGACAGTTGTTATTGATTACACTACAAAACTGGACGTGCTGTAAGACAGAAACTGCTTATCAAGCTTTCTAATGCATGCCGCCAACTTAAACGAGTCGGTTGCCAGTGCAGCCGATGTGAATTCGCCTCACTGTGTCCATATGTTACTTGGCAGTGGCATCAATATTTCATAACCTGAATTCATTTAAGACTGACGCGAGCAATTTTTCAGTGTCTCTGTCAGCTTGTTTGTGCGAGACAGGTACCCTGCCCTTATTTGATTTCAGAATTCAGCCCACTCAGAGGAAGATATGATCTACAAATACTTCTAGATATCTGTTTGAACAGCTACAAGATGTTATGTGTCCGCGGTTGTGCCCTTTATTAGAAAAATAATGTTGATGAATGTTGGAAACTCTTTTCTGTGTGTCCAGCAACAGAAGGTAAAATTGATTCTGATGACAAATGCACGAATGAACCTCCTCTGACCCTAACTATGCAGTGTGCAATTTGTAATGCTACTCCACACGCCACCCTACATGTTGAGGGTCCTGACTCATCCCCAGACATGATACAGAGATGTATTACCGCACTTGTTTCGACGGGGTGCTGTTTTTGCGCCCCAGAATCAAGAAGTGTGATTATGGTAGCAGTTTATATAACTGTCAGCAAAATTGAAAAACAGAGAAACAGATGAATGAGTAATAAATAACAAGAGATAAGTGGACACGTCAATTTTTCAGCTTACCCTAAAAGGACATCAGTGGAAATGATGATTAACACTGTCAACCTGAGTCCCGCAACTTTATCGTTTGAAGGCGTATTTTTATAATTCCCAGAAAACTGGCCAAATATAGACATCAGACGACGTCTAGATATATTTTCAGCACAGCCACAGCGGCGTTTGATTGCAGAAAATTGTTCGGTTATCTGAAATGCCAACAGAAGACATCTTGGTGTCAGTCCCCGAGGATCAAAGAACAAAAGGAGTCTTTCTCAACTCAACACGCCGCACCGATATTCGACAAGGAGAAAAGAAATCCATCACAGGAGAAGGCAGGCATGCCAATTTCTCCACTGACGGGAGCTTCAATAGATCAGAGTGCAGTGCAACCGCACGACATGCTGCAATTTGAGTACGTGACGCGGCCTCACTGTTTCTCAACTAGAAAACCTTACTGTGATGTTAGGCTACGGCTTCCTCTCATCTCATCGCGTATAAACCCAACAGATGGATGCAACACATGCTCCGGGGATTGCGGACAGCATTTTGGGAAATGGATGAAATCTCTATCTGCGGGGAAAACAGATGAGGCAGGTTGATGGATAATAGGTACAAGAAAATCCTATCAAAGTTACTGGAATTTGTCAAATGGCTATTACAAACGGAGAATGCACTTCATACATTAGCATCAGTTTACTGCTTAAAATAACAACAACATTAAAACCAGTGACAGGTGAGGTGCAGAGCATCGATTATCTGGTTATCTGGCAATGGCACATGTCAAGAAGTGGGATATATTAGGCAGCAAGCAAACAGTCAGTTCTCAAAGCTGACGCGTTGGAAGCAGGAGAAAGCGGCAGCGTGAGGATTTGAGTGACTTTGACGAGGCCCAAACTGTAACGGCCAGAACAGAGTTAGAGCATCTCAAAAACAGCAGGTTTTATGAGGTGATCCTGGTATACAGTGGCTACCAGAAGTGGTCCAAGAAAGGAAAACTGTAGAATCGATGACACACTCATGGGTACACAAGTGGTGTTAATGTGTTGATTGATCTGTGTGTGCTGCCTAGAAATACAATCAAAAGAGGGAAACAAAATCCTAAAAAAGAAAAAGACTAAAGTTTGGACAAAAACCTGGAATCAACATGTACAACACTGGAAAAACTGGTGATTCTACATACTATAGATATTTTACTACCCGCTACAGAACATAACTCAGCCCACAGTTTGTTGCAAAGAAATTCAGCAGTATAGCATTGTGGCAAACATTGTTTTTTATCTGTCGGAGCAGAAACAGTTGTTGTCTACAGCTGGAGAGATAACGTCACAGTGGAGCACAGTGCTTTTTTTTTTTTTTTTTTTTCCTCTTCCGTCCTCCAGAACATACAGATTGATGCCTGCTTTACAAAAGACAACTAGACAATTACGTACATTATACTTTACTCAGATACTGGAAGACTATAGCATACGTATATTTTTTTTTAAATTATTAAATTAAGCTAAAAAGCTGCCTTCTCCCAATTAAAAGTTATGCAGTAAGATCCCAAAACTACTCCTTTCTGCTACGACCAGATGCACGAAGCATTTGCTTGTATACTTACACTTATTATGTATCCTTTTAGCACCAGCTGTGACGCACGCTAATACACCAGTTGGAGGAAAATTGCATTATGGGAATTGGATTTTGTCCATTTTTTTTTTCATTGTTCATAGTCTGCAAAACAGTTTTAGAGACCCTTCAATGAAAATCAAGTTATATTCCTTGTTAATGTGTCCATGTAGCGTTTTTTTTTAATATGCTGGAGACAAATCACAACATAAATAAGCAATCAATGCCATGGCTGAGTATTGTTAAAAGCACATTTTTAGACTTGCAACAAACTTGTAACTTTGAATACACAGAGACGAGTTTTTAGGGGTTTAAACAAAGACCAGAGAGGGACTTTAAAGATGTGCTGCAGAAAATGGCGGACACCCCGAGCGAAGGAAGCAACTGTGAAGAAGAATGCAACAGTAACCTGGATGAAAATAACAATGACAATCACTGAAGAGACTTGAATGTGCCTTCTGACCTGCTATCCAAGACTCGCACATGTTTAGTGAAGAGACGCACTCATGTCACATCTGGATCCAAAGGGGGAAACACTTCAATGTCGTACCAGGTCTTAAAGAGATACACGTATATGCTGTATCCAAATATGATGAGTTAACTCAAGAATCATGTTGTTTAAAATTGTAAATCAAATCTGAGTCCAAATATGCCACCTAGAATCCGAAACCCTCTAAATATTACCTAAACCTTAGCAGCTATAGTAACATTTTTGAGTGGTGGGGGACTGTAATGTTTGAAATGGCTCCATTGTCCACATCAACAACTGCTTCACAAAAAAAATCCTGCAACCAACTATAACTTCAGCATAAATGTACCAGACTTGATGGTTGTCTGACTATGATTGATTGTTATTCTGAGGCAGTATTAAGTCTGTGCAAGTAGACTTTCATAATGTACTGTCATGGTCTGAAAGCAGCGGCTGCCTTTGGGCCATAAAATCAATCTAGAAAGCTGCTCTGAAGATGGCTGGAAGTACTGCAAAGTGTCCATGATTTCAAGTTAATGGGAGAAAATGTGCAAAAGCTACCCGTGTGGTTCATTTACAATGAGGGACATTTGTATATTTGGGTTTTTACAAGGCTCTTTTTACCAAGATTAAAACGTGTCCAGACAGCAGTGTGGAAACGCTGTTAAAACCTTTCCGGACGTGTCTGCCAGCGTTCTTCTCTTCAGCTCCTTTCGAAACCAACTTCTTCACCTCTGCTGCTTTGTATCTAAAATGGCCCTGGTCCTCCTTTCACCACCTCCCCAGACCATCTTCCTGCCTCCTTTTTGCTCTGCTAACCTTTAATGTCTGGGCTCGTTTTTCTCTCCCTCCCTTCTCACTTTCCCTCTCCCCTTCATTTCCTCTCACCTCTTCTCTCGCTCCGTCCCTCCCACCTTTCCCCATTTCCCATCTTCTCTTTTTCCGTCTTTCATACAATCACCTTTATCATCCACCTCCTGCCCTCTCCTCCACTGCATTTTGCTCTCAGCTTTTCTTTTTTTTTTGCTTCTTTTGTCTTCCCCTCCCCTATCTCCTCTTCACCTCCCGACCAACACCCCCCCCCTCTCCCACCTCAATCCATCACGCTCCGTATCGCTCTTTAAAGAATCATTGGGCTGCTAATCTCGATCTTCCCTTATAGCGGCTCATATCTGATTCCATTTCTGTAATTGAAGCGAGGCCTCCCCCCTCGGGCTCACGCTTGACTGACAGATTTCCATTCCACAAGTGGTATTCAAAGAGGCACCTATGAAATGATTGGAAACCTGTCCGCAGATACACAGCGCCGGAGCCTGGGATTCCAGGAGGCAAACTGCCATTACTGTGAAGCCGGTGATGGAAACGTCACATGCTGGCTGTGAAAAATGTTTGCGAGGAGCAACAAAAAAAGAGAGAAGCTACCGCAGAGACAGAGGAAGAGAGTGAATAGATGACAGCAAACAAATCCAAAATGCTTTTTCATCTTCTTTGCTTTCCGCGGCTGTTGACCCCCTCGAAAACCCAAACCAACTCCCACCAACTGTCTTTTAATTGCCTCTGCCACTTTCCCAATGGTCCAGCATCCAGCTGATAAGTCACACTTCTGTCAATCAATAGCCATCTCCACCGTCCCCCTGTGCATCTATGTAAGGTCGCTTTATCGAATTCTTACAGCAACTGAGGCAAAAACTGACTAATAAAGGTCCCTGGATGCAGGCCTGTAACTCAGCCCAGAGGAGGACGCCGTCTCCTACAAGTACAAATGACCAATTATGGGCCATGTCTAATGTACAAATGCTCTGCTAAATCTAACAACTGCCACAAACCCTGAGGAGACGGCCCTTGTTCCGACATGCTTCTTAA